ATGCCGGGATCTGGAATTTCCCCAACCCCTATCCCTCCAGATCATACTGTACATCAGAGTGGTAACCATTGTAGAACAAATGACTTCTTGAGTCCAGTGATTATCACCTTGTAGGGCCACTTCTACCACTCCCTCAATTGAGTGAGTTCTTTTTGCTAAATAATTTGTACTAAAGGTAAGGACATCTTATATCAAACAAGGCAGACAAGAGGTTGGGGACCTATTGATATCTTGATTCTACATTAGGGATATTTGTTTGGTGGTTCACTCTCACATTCATTCCAGAAAATGTGATTATTTAAACTGTAGAAAATTCTTCACTACCTATACGTCATTCATTGCCCTATGACTGAATGCCTGCGTGGAACTGGCTGAAAGTTCAGAAATACCTTACTTAGGAAAGAGAGTCCGTGAGTTTTCATAAAGCAGGGAGAAAGTATTTCTGCAGTACTTACTCTCTGCTTTTTCCTTTTCTCCACATTTCTTGTCCTTTCCAATGGAAGTGCTCTCTTCTGGGATGGCAGCTTCCTTCCTTCACTCACTCACAAGGTGGTAGTGCATACCCTAGAACCTGGTTTCCCCCCAGCATGGAGATCCTGACTTCCCTCCAGAGAGAGCTTTCCTGTTCTGTGATGAAGATGACTAGTATTTCTTGAATGTCACATCTGGGAGTCTGCCAATGACAATGACACGATGGTCAACCCTTTCTTTACAATGCAGGTCTAACCTGGTCTAAAAGACTGCCAAACATTGATAGCTCATGGTTCTCTCAGTTCAAAAGCTGAACAGTAACTGTTAATAAAACCAAAGAAACACTTGGGGGTACCTGGCATCAAAACTGATGGATAACAATCAGGTGGATTATGATTCAGAAGCACTAACACAGGTAAATATCAACGTTTTAGAGATACTTTCATTTGTCTGTATTTTCAGTATAATCATTCCTCTGGAGGGAATCAAGCTCATGTTAAGTCCTCTTGCGTTTTTAGAGAGATGTCTATTGCACACCTCTCACCTGAGTTACACACATACATATATCCAGACTCTTCTCTCATTTCCTGATTCAAAGCTTTGTGCATCCAGATCAATATTTGATTAAGAGATAAACTACACACTTATTGACCCTAGTGCTGATGAATTGTATTTCTAGCATGTGTTGAGTAGCTTTATTGAAAGCAATGATTTAAAGGAAATGAAATTTGCATATGAGAAAATGATCTGTAATTCTATATTTACAGCAACACAATCTGCGTTGACAAATACATGGAAACAACTCAGGTGCCCGTAAAAAAAAAAAAAGTGAATAAAGAAACTGTGGTATAGCTGCTCCGTAGAATACTACTCAATTATTGAGAAGAATTAAGTTCTACCATTTGAAACAAATGGTAGAAACAAAATGCTCAGGAAAATATACCAATTCCAAAAGGACAAATATCATATATTCTCTCTGATATAGGGTAACTTTCCTGCAAAATATAAACTCAATCAATTTATAGATAAGCATATATGTACATATATTTATCTAGAGGATCTGTATAATGAAGGCAGGCATATCATGAAGTAGACATATATTACAGTATGCATCTCTAATTCTAGATAAAAGAGAGATTCCCAGCGAAACTGTTAAATATGTCTTGACATTAGAATGATGAATTTTATACCATTCTCTATACCCATAATCTCAAGATAGCTTAAGTAGCAGAATGATGAACTTGCGGGGAGAAGAAGGGGGGGAGGGTGGAAGGAGAAATTCCTGAGCCTAAGAAACTGTATCATGAAAAACAGAGAATTTATTTAAAAAAAAAAACAAGACTAGGAATACAAAAAAGAAAGAAAGCAATGGTTTACAACCATGGTAATTGGAATCTCACCAGAAATATTTAAAATTATTAACACCTGAGCTTATACATGATCTAGGAGGGACAGGTCACTAATTGCTTTTATGATGCTTTTCATGTGATTCTTCCCAGTATAAAAACGAATGCAACCGAGTCCAGATGAGTCAAAAAATGAAAATATAGTAAAAAAAAAGTGGCTAAGCTCAAAAAAGCACTAAAATTATTAGAGGAACCAAGTAACCATTATCTAATTTTATTATTTTAGCACAGAACATGTAACTGCATAAAAGTTTGAAAAGTAAGGTATTCTATTGCATAGAATTGATTAGGCAAGAAAGTGGAATTTTATCCAATAAGAAGCAGAAACAATATATAAAAGGGCACCGAAGTTACTACTTTTTCCCCCTTTTCCTTCTTTTTTGTTTCAATAGCATACATTTATTGTTTCACAGTTCTGGAAACCAGATGTGTTTTTAAAGTTTAATTAATTAATTAATTTTATGATGCAGTTTCCCTCTCTCTGCACTGATTTCCCCTATATTATTGCAATAGTACAGTCCTTCAAAAACAGACACAAGTCCACCAATCACTGCAAGTCTTGAAACAAGGCATTGGCAGAGTCAGTTTCCTCTGGGGCTGGGGAGGGAGAGCTGCCAGGAGCCTCAGGTTTCCATGCTTGTACATGGAATTCTCCCTTTGTTTTCCTGTCATCTTTCCCTCTCTGTATGTTTGTTTCTATGTTCAAGTTTCCCCTTCCTATTGGGACCTCAGTGCTATTACAATTTATCCTAATGACTTAATCTTTTAAAAATTGTTATTAATTAAAATATGTTTTGGATGATCCTGGTGGTTTTATCCCTAAATTTTTGCTTAAATTAAAATATATTGATGAACAGTTTACTAATTCTACCTTTAAATTTTTGATTAATATCTGGTCAGGAAATAGTACCCACCCAAAATAAGAGTCATGGTTTGTAATAATCAATGTTCTCCTCTGTGAAATAATCTAAAATCTAGTTTGCTTGCTTTAGATACATGTTCTAAGTGTGCTTAGTACTTAACAGATACACAGCTTCTGGTATTCTTTTAAAATTTAAGTGAGAGTTTCCTTTTAAAATTTTTTCACAGTCTTATTTCCTGATGTATTTGATTATTCTTACAATCCTCCTCTAATCTAAAGGAAGTAATGCTGAATGCATCAGTCAAGGTATTCTACTTGGAGCTTATTTTGTTGGAATTAAAACCTATTACAACTAACTAAAACGAAGGGCAGCATTGCAAGCAGAAAGTTGGCTCAGCCCCATTGAGGAGGATCATTGCCTTGGATTCACAAGGTCTTTGATGGTTCAATAAACTGTGATACAATGTGACAGTTTGTGGCAGCTGGGGCTGTGGAGAAGGGGCACCTTGCACCTCTGGAAGAGTTAGGCACTGAGTAGAAACTCCAGGATTGGGAAAGCAGAAAAGACAGTTCTGAGCCTTTGCACATTTGAGGGGATTTATCTGGATGAGGAAAAAAAGAAGTCTGGATTTGCGGTTAGTAGACCCATGTTCAATTTATGGTTCTTTGTTAACTAGCCATATTTAGTATAAACTTGGAAAATTATCTCCTGTTTTCTCTCCACAAAATTTGGCAAACTTTAAAAAAAGAATTGATTTATTTATTTTTGTGGAAAGGCACAATTGCAGAGAGAGAGAGAGAGAGAGAGCTCTTACATCTGCTGGTTCACTCCCCAGATGGCTGCAACAATTGAAGCTGGGCATGTTGGAAGCCAGGTGTCAGGAGTTCCTTCTGGGTTAACCACACGGATGCTGGGCTAAAGACTTTCACCATCCTCCACTGCCACTCTAGATCATTGCCAGGGAATTGGATTGGAAGTGGAGCATCCAGGACTCGAGTCGTTGCCCAAATGGGATGCTGGTGCTATAGGCAGAGGCTTAATTTGCTATGACACAGTATCAGACCCAAGTGTATAAATTTTACATGAATTGAAAAATAAAGAATTAAAAAAGTAATGAATCTTGCTTGATTATTTTAAGGATGAAATGCATGAAAGGCTAGTGGTTTATTTGAGAATTTAATAAATATTTTTAAAAGTATTTATTAAATATAAAAGCAGCAAATGCTTCAAGATACCATACTGTCAGATTAATTGTAAAAAAGGCAATGCAAGATATATGGTTATGAAAAAATATCAGCTTGGTTATATTTTTCACACATTAATCCAATAAATTATTGCAAATGTTCATGTGTGAGTTTTCCAGAATGTTGAAAAATAGTGACCATTGGTTTACTATTTCCATGCAAACTAGTCATACCATGTGAATGATCCTAGTTTCATCATAGGTGAGATAGAAGTAAAGGTTAAAGAGAATATTCTTAAGTTCACGTCAATAGCAGGTAAAGTCCAGAATTTGGGGTTAGTTTTTATTGTGTATGTGTGCAAGTTATTTTTTTTCTTGCACTAAATGTTATCAGTATCTTCCGTGGTTGTTCCTCTTCATGCTATTTCCTTTGTCGCTTGTGTTAAGTTAAAAATCAAGACCCATGAACCACATGAAACATCTCTTTAGATCAGAGCTGAGCCCTCCATAACGTGGGCCATAAGCTAGTAATTCTCCTGTTTTCTCTTCTCACTTTCCCTCCTTTCTTTCCTTTCCTTTTCTCCCCTTCCCTTCCCTTTCCTCTGTTTTACTATTTGCATCAAATGTTTCATGTCGTTTCAACAATTTTTGCTTTCTATTATTATTATTTTCTAGGTTTCAGTTTTGTAACTATGGGGATTCCCCCATCTCCTCCTCTTCTTTGCATTTTTTTTAAATGAAAGAAAAATGAAACAAAGAATAAAATCTTGAAACAAAGTTTTATGAAGTTGACATTTTAGTGTTTATGAAAAAAATTTTACACAAATATATAAGCCCTTGTAAAAATTTAGATATCCTTTGACCCAGTAATTCCATTTGTAAGATTTTTTTTTTTGTTAAGGAGATGATAAAACTCTGTGCAATAATGGTGAAAACAGACCATTTATATTATTAAAATTTTGAAAATAAGCTAAATGTTTAAATACAAATAATTAATTTAGTTACACGATATTTACAGAATGTAATGCAGTATCATAAAAATTGCTCAATGCTATATTTGTTAAACTGAAAGATGCTGTGCTTGCTTTGGCAGTACATGTACTAAGATTGGAACTATGCGTGAGAAGATTAGCATGGTCCCTGGGCAACATTCACATGCAAATTTGTGAAGTCCTGTATTTTTGCTTGTTAAATAAAATCAATCTTTAAAAAGTAAAAAACTGGGGCCCGACGGTGTGGCCTAGTGGCTAAGGTCTTTGCCTTGAATGTGCCGGGATCCCATATGGTCGCTGGTTCTATTCCTGGCAGATCCACTTCCTCTCTATCTCTCTTCCTCTCTGTATATCTGACTTTGTAATAAAAATTAAAAAAAAAAATCTTTAAAAAAAAAAACATTAAACTTTAAAAAAAAAAGTAAAAAACTGAAGGAAGTTTTCAAAACAAAAATTTGATCAAGCTAATGACATGCTGGTTGGGACCCTTGCTTTATGCATGTATGGTTTTTTTTTAAAAAAGATTTATTTATTTTCATTACAAAGTCAGATATACAGAGAGGAGGAGAGACAGAGAGGAAGATCCTCCATCCAATGATTCACTCCCCAAGTGACTGCAACGGCCAATGTTGTGCCAATCCAGAGCCAGAAGCCAGAAACCTCCTCCAGGTCTCCCACACAGGTATAGGATTCCAAAGCATTGGGCCATCCTCAACTGCTTTCCCAGTTCACAAGCAGGGAGCTGGATGGAAAGTGGAGTTGCCAGGATTAGAACCGGCGCCCATATGGGATCCTGGCACTTTCAAGGTGATGACTTTAGCTGCTAGGCCATGCCACCGGGTCCACATGCAAGGTCCTAAATTCAGGTCAGCTTCCAGTTTCAGCTTCCTGTTAATGCAGACCCTGGGAAAGTTGGTTCCTTGCCATTCTCTTTGTGACCTGGATTAAGTTCGGTGCTCCTGGCTTCAATCTGGTGCAGTCTCAGCTTTGGTAGCTTTTGGGAACATGAATTGGAAGATGGGAATACATGATACTTAATAATATGTATAGGATATTCTTACATTAAAATTATGTGTTGTGACATTGAAGATTATTTTGAAACTTAAAAATCAAAACAATAGAAACTATAGCATCACTGAAAATAAATGCTCTGCTAGTCAGTGAGGAATTTGCTTATTTAGCATTCCTAGCAGTGCCACCCTACAGGTGTGGAAAAAAGGTACATAAAAATTAGGTAAACTACCCCAAACTTATATAACCAGTAAACAATAATTTTGAAATTAAAAAGTTCATGTTCTCTGTATTCAACAACATATTTTCTCCTCTCAGTGTTGGGTTAATTTTTTGTTTTATTTTATTTTTGGGTTGTTAATTTTTTTTAATTTAATAAAAATCTGTTAGTACTCTGAGTATACTATTTTGTTAGGAAAATCTGATGCCTTTTTGGGACACAGTTCAGTCTACATGAGATTTTTTTCAATCATAAAGATCTATGTAACTGACTGATCAGATATTTCTTCTCTGTATGAAAGTGGACGATGCATTTAGCCTTATGAATTCTCATTGCTTTATCATAAAACAGGTATAATGATATTTACCTCATAGTGTTATTGTGAAGATTAAAGCAGGCAATATATCAAAGTTTATAAGATATATTTGTAAAAAGAATAAACTTTGATTTCCTTAAATGCATAGTAAGCAATGAGAACCATAATTAACTTTTGTGGGTCTGCGTACAGATTGCTGAAGATACTAGGAGAGCGACTGTGCAATGTAATTCTGCTTTTTAAATTGGTAACCCCCGTGTATGACTACTAGTCTATGTAAGAGATCATTCTTTTGTTTGGTCTGCGTTTCAAGGAAATGATGCTGAAGGAAAAAAAATGGCCTATCATAAACATATTGATCATTCTCTGAGTTCATGCTGTACAATTTTGTAGTCCTCCCATTACAGAGGCATCTTTTACACAGAAAAATATTATCCAAGCTGCCCAGTTTGACATTTATCTGATGCTGATGAGAAAAGTATTGTAGGAATGACTCACAAAGCCATTTCAACAGCAGACCTGGGGCCAGCTGTGACTTAGGGTGTAATCTGCTGAACCAGGAGAAGCAGAGAGAATGAACAAACTGTTTAGGATTCCTAGGAGGACAGCCACAAATGAAACCAGATTACTACAGCTCATCTTTCAATGTATGGACAATGCTGTAGGTCAACAAGCACCAAGAACTTCCCGGGACTAAAGACCTCACCTGCACAGCAAAAAACGGTGCCAGAAACCAACAATGCGAGAGCTGAAATTCCCAAGTGGTTTGGCTAAGAATCTCAAAATAACAGAATTTCAACACCTACCACAAACTTCTCAGTATATTTGAGGGGAGCTGGAATTGGATGTGGAACATCAGGGAGTCAAATTTGTACTTCAATATGGTGTGCCAACATCTTCATTGACAGCTTAGTTAACCAGTACCATTTTTCACATATATATATGTATATGTGTATATATATATTCATTTTAATAAGTTCACTTTTTTGATGTTTACATAGTTGAGAGGGGTAAATGCCTGTGTGGACCACCAATTAAGATCGGGAGGGTTGAGGAATAGAAGAAAATGGATGAGACAACTTCTTTCAATCTCCTGTTTTCTTCTGTTATCTGGGGAATGTGGAGAGAGAAGGGAGAGGGCTGCTTCAAGCAACCTAACTGCATCAATATCCAGGAATGGGAAATGGCCACCCAATGACATCTCAGGGTCTCTGATGTGGATCATTCTTCAGATACTGCTTAAGAGGTTTTGGGAGTTGTGTGATGCTGTTAGTTTCCTTGCTCCGAGGTTGAGGAAATTCTTCAAGGACCGTTGGCTCGCATAGGCTGCCTTAGAGTCTCGATTTACCCAGACACTTATCTGGGAGAGGTTCCAATTTATTCTGCCCTCCATGGTACTAGATGTCCTATGCAGGCCTCAATGAACTGGTTGTCCTGTTCCCCATGAAATCTGTGCATTGCATCAACTACACAAGCCTCTTGGAAAACCAATTCTGACATACGTACTACTTGATCAGACCACATATCCTGTGAATTTCACTGTGATTGGAGTTCTGAGTCCAATGGTTTGGTTGAGGGATCCCCAAAGAAACCTTGTCAGAGGTGAGCCCAACCTGATTCCTGTGTGTATGCCAGTGTGGAGTCCAGCTCAGCCTAGCACCCACATCAGCCTACACATAAACTGGCAGTTGCAAGATGCCCAATCAGTTCTGTTCCCAGCTCCATCTCATATGCAAACCAAGGGGTGTTGCAGTCCGGCCTGATCCTGCCCGCCACACATTCTGCTCTCACACACACCAATGGGAACTGCAGCCTAGTCAGAACAACTCCCAGTAACCCACACGAGGCCTGCCCCCAGCCCTGGTTCCTGCACATGCCGGTATTTGCAGCAGAGTGATCCAGTCTGTCCCACATCCCATGTACCTCTTGTACATATCAAAGGGCTTTGGAGCCTAGTTCAACCAAACCAACCCTACTATCCATCCCACACTTATGCCAGTGGATGCCACCACCTGTCTAATCAGGCCTGCCTCCAGTCCTGGTTCTCATGCTCACCTGTGGGAGTTTTAGCCACTCACGGAGTTGCCCAGAGTTTTCATACTGGGCCCATTTCCAGCCCCCAATCTTGCATTTTCCAGGTGGTTCGATGGTCTAGTCTGACAGGTCTTGCCCCCAGTCTCAGCACTTGCCAGCTAATGCTCTAGCAAAGCCCAATTAGCCTGCAGTTAAATTGGGTCATCCATATACCGGTGGATATGGTCACTTAGGCCAGCCTGGCTCTCTGCCTAACCCAACTCACATGCAGGACAATATTTGTTGTAGCTTTTCCCAGCCTGATCTGCCTTCACTTTCAGCTCTTATGCTCACCAGTAGAAGTAGTGCCCCAGCAGTGGAGCAACCCCCCATCTCCTGCTGGGTTTACCCCTCCCCCCACCTCTGGTCTTATGTGTGCTGATGGGTGCTGTGGCCGAGACTGACATGGCTTTTCTCACCTTGTCATCCACTAGTAAGTGTTGCAGGTTGGCTTGGCTTAGCTTGCCCCAGTTACAGCCCATGCTGGTAGGAGTTGCAGTTTGGCCCAGGCCAGCCAGCCCTCATTCCTGGCCCTAGTGTGAACTGGCTGGAATTGTGGCACAACCTGGTCTGTCCTGCACCCCATCATGGTTCTCATATGTGCCAATTGGTGCTATGAATTGGCCCAGCCTGGCTTGCTTCCAGGTCTGACCCACACATTTGCTGGCTGGAATTGTAACCTGGCTTGGTCTGGGCTGCAGCCTAGCCAGGGCATCCCTTTAGCTCCCTGACCAAGCTCATTCCTACCCACAGATCTTGCTCATGCTAGTGGTTGCTCTGACACAGCCTGGCATAACCCATCACCCAGTTTGGTCTTTGCCTTTGGATGCTGCAGTCTTACCCGGTGTGACCCACCCCCAAATGCAATTCTCCAGTGGGTGCTCTAGCCTAACCTTGCCTATCCTGCTCCCATCCTTGGTTTTCATGAAAACCAGTGCGAGTGACAGCCAAGCCTAGCTGGCATAGCCTGCATGGCTTTCTGGTTCCCACACATGCCAATGTGCTATGATTTGGCCTGACCCTGACCAGTCACCAGTCTACCTTCTAGAGAGCCAAACCACACACCTGCCATCAAGTGAATCAGCCCTGCCCTTTACCAGCAGTCAGCCCTGACTCACAATATCATCAGCAGGAACAAAGGCCCATCAGAAGAGTTCCTCCACATTCCCCCACCAGGCCCACCCTCAGACCCCGATCTCATATGCCAGCAGGAGCTAGGCCCTTACTTGGCAGTATAGCCTACCAGAGTTGGCCTTTGTGTGTACTAGTGAATGTTCCAGCCCAGCCCACCCCACACTCAATTCTTGGGGACACCTGCAGGTATAGCAGCCTGACCTATTCCCAATCTCAGTAACCATGAATGTTGTTGAATTCTATGGTCATGCCTAGCTCAGCCTGTCACCATCCCAGCCCTTGAGCAAACCAGCTGATATGGCAGTCCCACAGGGTAAGTACAAAATTCCCCAATGAATCTGGTTCCAAGACCCAGTTCTTTTGTGAGTTTTTAGTGTTATGGCTCAGCCTGACATGGCTCACCCCTTTCTGGTGGAGCCCTGCCAGGTAGGTCCCCCAG